TCCAAGATACTTGTTTGATTGATAGTGAAAATATGTATACTATTATTCAAGATAAAAAAATATTTTTTGGACTTTAAATTAGTAGAAAATAACATCAATACGATATCAAGTGCATCGAATATTGTTGAAGGCTCTGAAAAAGTTTGTATTATTTTTTCAAATAATACAAAATTATATCTTGACGATGTACTTTTCTTTAGCAAATTTAGAAGAAATTTACTTAGTTTTAAAGATATTCATTGCAATGGACATCACATTGAAAAGATACAAGAAGATAATATAGAATATTATTGTATAACTTCTTTTGTATCTGGTCAAAAGTAGATAAAAGAAAAACTTTATGCATTCCCATCTGACATGTATTACACATTTATAAAAAATGGATGTATAAAATATTATCACAAACCTGAGGTTCAATGATCAAAAAAAATTTTATACTTTGACATGATCGACTTGAACATCCAGGAGCTATTTTGATACATTGAAAAATTAACAACTCACATAAACATTCACTAAAGAACCAAATGATTCTTTTACCTAATTATTATCCATGTGTTGCTTGTTTGGAAGGTAAGTTGATTAGACCTTCCACTATAAAGGTCGATATTAAATCTGCAACTTTCTTGAAAAGAATTCATAGATATATATATGTAGGTTAATATACTCACCATGTGGACCATTTTGTTATTTTATGATATAAATCGACTCTTCTACTAGATGATCCCATGTCTGTCTACTTTTCACTAAAAATGTTGTTTTTGCTAGATTACTTGTTCAAATCATAAAATTTTGAGCTTAATTTCTCAATTACTCAATCAAGACAACTCGTCTTGATATTGCCAGTAAATTTAGATCACAAGTATTTGATATTACTGTATGTCAACTAGAATTGTTATTGAACATTCGGTTGCAAATGTCCATACACAAAAATGATTCAATAGAGTCATTTATAAACGTCTACAACTTATTGCTCGATCATTATTTATGAAAATAAAACTCTCAACTTCTATTTGAGGTCATGTCATATTATGCTACATTATTAGTTCATATAAGACCAACTGCCTATTATCATATTCATATTTGCAACTTGCATTTGGTCATAAACATATTCTCACTTTTCAAATTTTTGTTATACCGTCAAAGTCCCTATATTACCGCCTCCTCTCCCCAAAACGTACTAAAATAGGCTTCTAGCAAAGACTTAGAATTTATGTTGGTTTTGATTTATTAGCCATCTTGAACCTTCAACGATGATCTATTTGTTGCATGGTTTATAGAAATGATTGACCAAAATAAAAAGAAGCTATGCAGATAAACTGTATTTCTTATAGAAATAAAAAGTGTTTGGATCTGTAGTTCGAACTCCTAAAAATGTAATCTCTGTAAGATACAATAGCATTTTTTTATGAAAGAGAAATAAAAATAATGAAATTACAATATACAAAGCGTGACTCGTAGCTCAAGATTTCTTACAAAGACATGAAATTATAAGGAAACATATTCTCCAGTAATGGACATTATTACTTTCAGATTCTTAATTAGTTTGACTATATCACAAAGACTTAACATGCGCCTTAAGAATGTAATGATTACCTGTATGTATGGTTCCCTTTATAATGACTATATATATTGATTGTTGTAATATATTAAGATAATTATTGGTAATTATTTAGTGTTATCATGATACTTAGATAAAGTCTTATCTAGTTTTGCAAATCTATTTCATTCCAATTATAACTCTTTTTGAACCCTATAAAGAGATATTTTCTTAATAATAAATACTAGAGTTTTGATACACACACACACACACGTGTGTGTGTGTGTGTGTGAAAGTCTCCGAAGGATTTAAAGTGTCAAGAATAAGTGATACGTATTTGAGAACTATATTCTCAATTAAATTTCAAAGATAATTATATGAATTGAAACAATCTGGATGCAAGTGGTATAATTGATTTAAAAAATATCTATTAAAAGATGGTTATAAAAATGGCAATATCTACTCATGTGTTTTCATAAAGAAAATAAATATTGGATTTGCAATTGTAACTGTTTGTATTGATGATTTAAATTTAATTGGAACTATTGAAGAGTTGAACAAAATTGCAAATTGTTTGAAAAATGAATTTAAGATGAAAAGTTTGGAAAAAAGCCAAATTTGATCTTGGATTATAGATTGAACACTTTCTAGGAGGATTATTTATTCATCAATCTGCATATATAGAAAAAGCATTAAAATGTTATTACATGGATTATGAACATTCATTGGTATTACTTATGGTTGTTCAATCATTTGATATGAAAAAAAGATTAATTTCATCTACTTGAAGATAGAGAAAATGTTCTTTGTCTTGAAGTATCATATCTTAGTACAATTGGAATATTAACCTATCTTGCAATATGTACTCGATCCAACATAGCTTTTTTCTGTAAATCTCCTTAGACGATAGAGTTCTATACCAACTCAAAGGCATTGGAATGGCATTGAACACTTTTTTCATTATATGAAAGGTACTATTGTTTTGAGATTATTTTATTTTCAAAAGTCGAGATCTGTTTTAGTGGGATATGTAAATACATGTTATTTATCTGATTTATGTAAAGTTAAATAACAAATAGGATATTTTTTATAAGTGAAGGAACAAATATATCATGGGTATCTATGAAGTAAATATTGACTATAATATTTTCAAATTATTCTGAAATTATTGCAACCTATGAAGTATGTCGAGAATTTGTATGGTTGAGGAACATGACCCATCATATCCAAACATCATATGTATTAACTTCATCAAAAAATAGTACAACAATTTTATGTGTAAAAAATGCAGCTTATATTGCACAACTCAAAGGATCGATATCAAAGGCGATAGGACGAAGTGTATTTTTCCGAAATTATTTGATAAGCATTAGTTTAAGAAAAATGGCGATATCAATGTTTAACAAATTCGCTCAAGTGATAATGTAGTTAATTTATTTACAAAGGTACTGTCGACATCTACATTTAAGAAATTGGTTCATGAGATTGGAATACATCGAGTCAGAGATTTTCAGTGATCAACATTAGGGAAAGTACTTGTACTCTTTTTTTCTTCGCATAGATTTTATCCCACTAGGCTTTCCTACGAAGGTTTTAACTATGCAACATTTATTTTTAATACTTCAATATAATTGTACTATTTTTACTTCATTTGATAATTTTTCTCACAGTGGATTTTTATTAAGCAAAGTTTTAACGAGATAGATATTTTGTAATATATTATTTAAGGGAAGTGTTGTAAATTGTAAGTTTATTAGTGAATGCCAATTATACTCCTACAGCCCTAGTAATTATAATTATTTTATCCCTAATTCTTTTCCATAAATATGAGACTTTGGTTCTCAATAAAATACATTTTAGTTTATTAACTTCTATTCTCTCTTCTCCTTTTCTCTCTTTTCATAACAATTTGCACTAATCCTACATTTTAAAACTATACAATTAGGCATCTTCGTGGTGATTCATGGAAATTCATGTCATCTTCCTCTACACTTTCCATATTTCTTCTCAAACTCGTTTTCATTCCTTGTCTTTATTTGGTAATTATATTCCTTTACAAGTTTATTTAAGAGAATCCTATGTTATATTAAATTCACTTATTTAATACTCTAATAAGGTACCATCTATTAAGAATTTAAGAATGTAACATGTTAGATACACAAAGACACTAATGCTTAATCAATAATTTTAAAGCATGACAACCCTATTCCGCGTTAAAAGTTAAAGCCTCCCCAGCCCATTCTTACGTAGACAGACAAAAAATTGTTTTCTAAATATCATCGATAAAAAAAAAAAAAATGAAAAAAAAAATCATTTTCCAAATATCTCTTAATTCAATATTCTTCTTCAAATGCTTGGACTCAATTAGGGTTGTGCTATTTTACATATATTTTTACGATTTTATATTTCTTGGCGGTAAAAAAATATTTCATTCTATCCACAGAAGTCACATATGAATTTGTCCTTAAAATTTAATGAGACAAGTTCTTAGCCCACGAAATCTCCAAGTTGGTGATGCGGCCACCACGCCAACTTCTATACTTAGTATATTTTATAGACATTGTTTTTATTTATATTTAGTGAGGGGCATAATCATTATCGGATAAATATATATATACAGACGGGGTTACCGAATGGTGTCCCTCCTCTCACAATGTATGGTGGGGGTCGCGTGAATTTAAAAATGATGGTCCGTAGTACTAGTCTCTACCCCTGTTGTGAGTAGTAGATAAAAGATTCGGTAAAAAAATTCGTTACATATAGCATTGTCTACAATTATCTTCCATTTTCCATACCACTGAATACTCATAACCGAATATTACATGTTTTAAGCTGTCCTTATTGGTTGGCATAAGCAATGGTGACCTGACACGTTGTTTTGCAGTGATAGCTTTTCTCTAGTAGCGCCAGAGTTGGATATAATTTTTCATGCCTCGGCATATAGGAGGAGCTGGAGCTTCCGTTGTTAGCTTGTGATCAATGAGAGTTTCTTGTCTCCGCAGGGCCTATCTGCTATGATTCCTAACTGAGATCAGCTTCGAGTTTCCATTGAGGATGATGCGTGGAAGATGAAACTTCAGCTAAATTCTTATCCCCGGTGTTCCCAAAATAATTATAATAAAACATTTGGCGATTGATTTATATGTAAGAATAATAATGGATTTACCGAAGTGTGTAGATAATAATGATTAATAATTATGAAAGTAGTTAGCATTTATGTATAATTTTAATTGAATTACAAAAGTTGAGTAAGCTCCAAACTTCCAACTCACGAAGATGATGGGGCTCTGGGCTCCACTGAATTAGCATCATCAAACCCTAATCACCTTCTTTAGCAACTCAAAGAATGACATCTCTATCTGGGCCATATCTGCTCGATTCTGTAAAATTTATTATAAGCTTCTTTATTATCCTTTTCCTTTTGTAAGTTTGAAGGAATTCCATTTGTTGTCTGCCAAATGTCCTCCTATAATCCACCCACATATATACTTGAGTTCAATCTCGTATCATACACTTTTTTGTCTCACTTGCAATCATAGATGGCACCCAGTTCCATTGGAACTAGACGAGTATTGTGTTGTGTTTTTGAATTTCGTATTTAAAGTTTGAATACTTGATTGTGTATCACGTTGTGTCATGTTTTCGATTTTCGCATTAAGAGTTTGAATGCGTGATTTTGTAGCAGTGAAAACTTAGGATGAGTTGGGTAGTTCGATTTTCGTATTCTCGGTTTCAACAAGCTGCGTGATTGTGTAGCAGTGAAAACTTTGCATAGGGAACCATAGCAATCAAAGAAAGAGTCAAAAGTCAAAATCATGAACAGTGAAAAAGAGGCAGATTCTATTAAATTATTGACAAAGATCCTTAACTCCTTGTCTTGGGATTTCAAAAATTTTACTCTTGTCCTTCATCTTTTACCCATAAACAGTGAAAAAAAACTTGCGGAATCACGGCATCAGTAGAATTCTCCTTTTTTCCATTTCTTGAGGTCACCTTTTTCAACACAGACAAAAACGTACAACCGTTTTTCTTTATACTGATGTTTTTTGCTATTTTATTGTAATTTCTTGTGTAAAAATCATGGATCCCAAGGGCTCAAAACAGCCACAGGAGGTTTCGAGTTTCTTAAATAACAGCCCCGGGATGGGCGAGATTAAGGCCGCAGAGATGAAAGATTTTCAGATTGTGGTTGCAGAGAAAGAAGAAGGGAAAAAGCAGGCACTGGCACCCAAAAGAAGCTCGAATAAAGATAGGCACACGAAAGTTGAAGGCAGAGGGAGGAGGATAAGGATGCCTGCCCTTTGTGCTGCTAGAATTTTTCAGCTGACCAGAGAACTGGGACACAAATCTGATGGAGAAACTATACAGTGGCTGTTACAGCAGGCGGAGTCATCGATAATCGCTGCTACAGGGTCAGGGACTATACCCGCGTCAGCTTTAGCAGCAGCAGGGGTTTCTATTTCCCAACAGGGGAACTCTATATCAGCAGGGATTCACCAGAAGATTGACGAATTCGGTGGGCATATGGGGGGGCCAGGTGGGGGTGGGAATAGGACCAGTTGGCCTATGGTAAATTTGGGAAGACCCCATATGGCAAGTGCAGGGATATGGCCCCCTGCTGTCAGTGGATTTGGATTTCAGTCATCATCTGGTCCACCGACAGTTAATCTGGGTAGTGAGGGTTCTAATTACTTGCAAAAGATTGGGTTCCCAGGGTTTGACCTGTCATCAAGCAATATTGGGCCAATGAGTTTTACCTCAATTATGGGTGCTAGTACTAACCAGCAGCTTCCAGGGTTGGAGCTTGGTCTATCACAAGATGGTCATATTGGGGTTTTGAATCCTCAGGCAATGAGCCAGCTTTACCAGCAGATGGGACAGTCTAGGATGCACCCTCAACAGCAGCAGCAGCAAGCATCTCCCAAGGATGACTCTCAAGGATCGGGACAGTAGATTGGTTCTTAAACACATTCGAGTTGCAAAAAGCACAAAAGAAGAAGAAGAAGAAGATATTGCCTCGCGGAGAAGATGGATTTTGTGGATGATTGGTTCCAGTTATTGTCTAATTACTGAAAAACATAGGTATCCAAGAATTCTGCCGGGCTGACAGCTTCTTCCGACTCTCTAAATACAGGTGCTCCAGGATCATTTTGTTGTTTCCATTTTACTTATGTTCTTGTATAAATTATAGATACGTTACATGTTACTTTTACATTATTGCCTGTGCTCCGAAATGTGAGGTTGGAACTATGCCTACTGGTTAGTCAGGATTTGGGCTAATGTTCTTGTTTATGTTCAAGGGTGTGCTCATCATAGTTCAAAGGATCTTTACGTGGGTTTGCCAATATATATAAATTAATTACGTTATTATGTGAAAATAGGAAACAAGGTATTATGTGCCCACAGTTGTGCGATTTCCTCGTCTGCAGTTTCTGTTTTTGAGATCTCATATTTTGTACAGGCAAGCAATGTTCATTCGTTGCAGCTTCTGGCTTTCTTAAAGTTTCCACTGGCTAGTGAATCTTTTGTGATTTGTTACATGTTTAGATGAGTAAACGTCAGGATTTAAATGGTGCAATATATTCTCTCAGTGAAATCTGATCTTGATTATAGCTTCTACTTTCTTTTCTCCACAATGATCTAGTTATAATTTTTATCTCGGACGAAAGGTTTGATACTTTGAAGTCAGTGAAAGCCAACTAGTAAAGCCAACTAGTTTTGTATTAGCGTGCTTTAAGCCTTCAACACCTGGAATAATAAGTTAGGATTTTGAATTTGCTGGTATCTCCGATAGATACTCTGGTTTTAGGTGGTTCAGGTCAAGGTGACACCAAAGGTTTTATTTTATTAGTTTCTTGAGGGTTGATAGTTCAACGTGGCCACTTTCAAGGCTCTGATTCGCCTCAACACTGTATAATAACAAACTAAGACTTATTATCAATTTACTAGCCAATTTAGCTTAAATGCATATTTACTTGAGTAAATCAGCAATCTCCCTGTGATTCTTCTGGGATATGTATTGCTTTGGTTTGCATTTTTTCAATCATTTAGTTTGCCGTATTTTCTGACCCCGAGTCATTTTGAAAATCAACGTCTTCATGTTATATTGCACGAATACATTGTTCTGATGCCTGTTTTGGTTCATATTTTCACCAGTGTCCCCTACCTCATATGCATTGGAACTGTTGCAGAATTCTCTTCTCTTTGTCTTCCACTGTATTGATTTGCAAACCGATATATTAACTCTGGGCTAATATTCAATAATTTTTCGAGAGTTCATGGTGGTACTTCTGTTTATCTGTGAATATGTTTTAAACAGCTCGTGTCTGAGAAATATGGAGAAGACTGTGTGGTTGAATAACAGATGTGAATGAAGAATCATAATGTTCAATTGAAGTCCTGTCATCAACTTAGATTCCATGTAATTTGAATTCAAAGCTGAATGGATCACAAAGGACTGATTTATACTTCTTTTCTTAGTCTGGTGTAGATGACTCGAGTCAACTGGTTTGTCTGATCTGTTTACTCTGCTGAGGGACCTTAGCATTAGTTGTAGTTGTTCCATTGTACTTGAAGTATATATGCAACTAGAAAGATTTCAGTTTCATCTCATTTTCTAGATGACCGGAAAGGGCAGGAAGCACATTCATCTCATTTACCTTTTTACACGATGGTCGACCGACTGACCACTTCATGTATAGACAAGTAGGTTCAACCAGCATGAATGAGAGGACAGAGAAAAAGTGTATAATATCAGGTGGTTCGTCTAAAAACATCCTAGGCAGCCATGTTAATGCAATTAGGCCAAACCCAAAAGTGGGAAACAGAGCAAACTGCAAAAACAACTAAATCTGAAGCTGAAGAAAGAGGAAAGATTTTGAACAGCAAACATGTGGACAACACATGGGTATTTGGCTTTTTGTGAGTTTCATTCCCATTAAATATGGGCACACAATGTGAAATGTGTACATTTAATAAGATGGGTGTGATGTGAATGTCACAAAATTGAATTTGCATGAGAAAAGTGGGAGAAAGATTCCAATTTGAAGTGTTGTTGGGCTATAATTAATGAGTTATCCTCTGTCACCAATAAATGCCAGAGCATTATCTATAAGATATGTGGTGAAGCTCAAGCTTATATATTTTTGTCAACCATCCTTCTCTCTTTACATATTTTGGGCAATTTATAGTATTTGGTATGTTAAAAGGGGCTTATATGTAAACATGGTCCTCACCTCGAATTTTTTGAATCTGTACTAAATTTTTTATTTTATAATAAAAAAAAAAAACAAATACATAAATAAATGAAACGACAAATGAGAATTTTATAATCCTTTCCCCCAATAGTAAAAGTGGCTGGGTGTAAACATGGTCTTCGCACTGAGCCTGTCCCAAAATTTTCCCAATAGCTTTTTTAAAAGGTATTTTTTATTTTTTTTTGAGTAAAAAATCAGTTTTTTATGTGTAAATTTTTTTCCTTTTCGGCGTAGCAGCCCAATTTGAAATTTTGTAGCCCAATCTTGGATCCAATCCTGGATCCGTCCCTGATTGTACAATTATAAGACTTCATACTCGACTCGCAGTAAGAATGTAATAATGTTGTGTTTTCAGAAATCGTGTCTACGTTTCAAAGCATAATCTGTCATTTAATTATCAAAATCTACAAAAACGTTATGAAAATATTTTAAACCTACAACTCTTATTCATATGGCCAATATTTTTTATTATTTGTTTCAAATGAAATGGACTTCAGAATCGTTTCAATTGAGCTTCAGATATTGAATGATTTTGGGCCCAGTTTCTGCAGTTTTCCTTCTTCGTTTCAACAGCTTATTCTTCTATTTATGGGTGTTTTTTAGGCTCAGAAACAGCCCTCCATGACTTGCAAATCACCTTCCAAGAGAGAGGGGAAAAAATCCGGCAAAGAACCACCACCTTAAGCTAAAACCGAGAGCTCACTTTCTGCTGGGGAAAAATCGAGAGCTCCTCTTTTTGAAATGGTAGAGAGTGAGTCTACATAAGAAGGGGAAGGAAGGAAATACCATGCCTCTGCCAAAAACGTGGGAAGACCTTATTGTGTCAACATCAATACCATCAAGTCACAACATCTCCCCCAAGATGAAATCTCGGCCGTCGATCTTCATCCAATGGTCCACAAAAAACTGAATAGATGGTGTTAGGTGAACCATATTTTCACATTCTTCACCTTGGTTCTCCTAACACTCTCTTTTGGTTGCGAATTTGCACATGGAAGAATTGTTCATCATCATCGCCCACTACCTGCAAGAAAAATTAACCAGTGTTAATATGTAATAAAGAGAAGCACAATTTAAATTTACATGCAGGTAGAATTTTTGTTTCCATATCAGAGGGATTCCTATCAGTGTGAATTTTCTCACAAATAAAATGATACTTTACCTCAATATGTTTAGTTCTTTCATGGTAAACAGGATTTTTACAAAGCAATAAAGCAC